AATCGGTCACAAAGAAGCCGGAATGATGAGTTCTATGATGCGATGAGTAAGCATTAAGCATTTATTAAGCTGTTAACTAGAAACTCGACAAAATTCGGGTTCAAGGGGGAGGGGGAGGGATCTAAAATCGATTCTCTAAAAATGAAAGATCTGATCAATCTAATCAATCCCAATTTTTACGTGCTATCCAACTAAGAAAAAGCCAAAGTCTCATTAAAATCTGCCTACTCAAAAAAAAGTTAATTGGGTGAACACGTTTCTAGGCTATTTCCAGATAGATTTTGATGAAACTTTTGCTTTCTCTTAGTTGGATAGCACAGAAAGCTGAGTTTGATTAGATTTGTAATTTCGTTTTAGCCGTGGATCGTTGTGTCCCGGCTACCGTGACCCCAGTTCAGTGCTGGGCTGACAAAGAGCATAGGGATTACGGTAGCCAGGGCATCTAAATTTGAAAAAAATGACGCTCCTGGATATCACATAAACTCTCTAGAGGATTGGATAATGAAAAAGTTGCATTCGAAAAATTCGGATATGCTAAATTAAGGACTGGAAGAATCTATCGTACACCGTGAGCGTTTGAGGCTTCTAAAGTTGAATAATGTAGATCCTGGATGTCATGTAAATTTTCTAGAAGATTGAATCATGAAGAACTTTGAATTTGAAAAATTCGGGTTGTAACTTTTAGGACTGGATGATTTTACAATACCCTGTAGCTCAAAAACTGTTCTAGATTTTAACAATGGCAATCCTGGATATCATGTAAACTTTCTAGGAGATTGAATATTGAGCAGATTTTCTTTTTTAGAAAATCGATTTTTATGTTACCCGTGGTTTGTTGTGTCCCGGAGCCTCAAGTCTCAAGGTAGAGGGCTTTGTTTTTAGTTGGCTGTTAGGCGTTTGGCGTTAGGCGTTTGGCGTTAGGCATTAGGCGTTAGGCATTAGGCGTTAGGCATTAGGCGTTAGGCGTTAGGCGTTAGGCATTAGGCGTTAGGCATTAGGCGTTAGGCGTTAGGCGTTTGGCGTTAGGCGTTTGGCGTTTGGCGTTTGGCGTTTGGCGTTTGGCGTTTGGTAGTACGACTTGCTACAAGTTGCAGATTTCGAAAAACTAAAAAAGCAAAAATGTTCTGTGACATCCAGTTCGACATATGAGTTGATCAGTTTTTTCAGAAAAGCCTCAGCTTTGTTTAAAAACTCGACCAACTGATTTTCCCATAAGATTAGGTGTTAGGTGTTAGGCGTTAGGCTTGGACTTAGTGCGAAGGCTAGCGGATAGCGCCTAGCACTAAGTCTATTTGGGTTTGGGCTGAACCCCCATTTTCTGGATCTCAGCCAGTTCTCGAAGCTAAGGGACACCCGTTTGACGATGCTCATCCGCCCCCCATAGGAGCATCCTGGCAAATGATTTTCTTATAAGATTAGGCGTTAGGCTTAGGCTTAGGTGGGCTTAGGCTTAGGCTTCGGCTTAGGCTTAGGCTTAGGCTTAGGCTTCGGCTTAGGCATAGGCTTAGGCTTAGGCTTAGGCTTCGGCTTAGGCTTAGGCTTAGGCTTAGGCTTAGGCGTTAGGCTTAGGCGTTAGGCTTAGGCTTAGGCTTCGGCTTAGGCTTAGGCTTAGGCATTACGCGTTAGGCGCAAATGCGTTTCTCGAATCTGGCTGAAAACTGGCTGTGCAAGTTATGATAATTTTCTGAAACAGGTTCATTTTCTTTTGATAAATATGGCGCGTTTTGAATTTTGCATTGAAATTGATGTCAACTTTACTCACGACTCGCGAGCTTGCCTGAAATGTTTGATGTTGATCAGAGCACAATCGACAACGATTTCCTTTGTCTGGGAGAAAATTCCCACTGGGGAAATTGGTCTTGAATTGGTCTAGAATTGAATTGAATTGAAATGAAAGTGAAAACAAAACAACTCATCGCAACGTCACTTCTTTTTACCTCCAATATTCGGCGTTGGAATGTCAATCAAGGCCCAATATGGGCCCCAATTGCTTCAATGAATCACTAACTCTCATCAGCTGTTTCCAGTAGAGATCAGCATCGATGCTATGCATAGGATTCACCAACTCATCGTACACCAACTCATAGTACAACTCAAGAATTCCACCGGCGACAAAGCATTGCAAATGGAAGTAGACGTTGCTTTGATGTGATTGAGTAGTAGACGCTTTCCAATCGATTGTCCGATTTATGGAAGTCCATCCAACTGATAGAGATTCACTTTTGTCTCATCAGAGTCCCTCGACTCGACCGAGAGACATCAGAGTCCAATCGGCACTCCAATCGTCACTCCTCCGACCTTGGTACCTCCGCGTAAAGGCTAAACGAAGTCGCCTAATCCGAGGGATCATACCTGGTCATCTAGCGTCTTCATTGATCGTCTAGCGTCTTCTTGGATCGTCTAGCCTCTTCCTGGATCGTCTAGCCTCTTCCTGGATCGTCTAGCCTCTTCCTGGATCGTCTAGCCTCTTCCTGGATCGTCTAGCCTCTTCCTGGATCGTCTAGCCTCTTCCTGGATCGTCTAGCCTCTTCCTGGATCGTCTAGCCTCTTCCTGGATCGTCTAGCCTCTTCCTGGATCGTCTAGCCTCTTCCTGGATCGTCTAGCCTCTTCCTGGATCGTCTAGCCTCTTCCTGGATCGTCTAGCCTCTTCCTGGATCGTCTAGCCTCTTCCTGGATCGTCTAGCCTCTTCCTGGATCGTCTAGCCTCTTCCTGGATCGTCTAGCGTCTTCCTGGATCGCCTAGCGTCTTCTTGGATTGTCTAGCCTCTTCCTGGATCGTCTAGCCTCTTCCTGGATCGTCTAGCCTCTTCCTGGATCGTCTAGCCTCTTCCTGGATCGTCTAGCGTCTTCCTGGATCGCCTAGCGTCTTCTTGGATTGTCTAGCCTCTACCTGGATCGTCTAGCATCTTCATTGATCGTCTAGCGTCTTCATTGATCGTCTAGCGTCTTCATTGATCGTCTAGCGTCTTCCTGTACCATCTAGCGTACAACTTTGCTTTGATGAGTCGCCTCCTCACGGTTCTTGCTGGGATATCTTTGCCGAACTGTGATTTGTACAGACTTCCATCGATCGAGGTGAGACTTGGGTTCTTTTTGAATTGCCTGATGATCGCTCGATCCTCGGCAGTGGTTGTTGATGGATGTTGATGGATGTCGGCGTCTTAGAACCTTAGATCTTAGAAACCGATTGACCTTCTCGGATCCAAATCTAAAAATTTCCGGGTCCAATACGTAAAGTGACATCCAGATTTAACATTGATCTACTTCTTTTTGAAATTCTTGGCTTTTAAAAGCATTTGGAGTACCAGACTTAGAATCTTAGAAACCGATTGACTGAAAAGCATCGAAATCTAAAAATTTCGAGATCCAATATGTAACATGACATCCAGATTTAACATTGATCTACTTCTTTTTCAAATTCTTGGCTTTTAACAGCATTTAAAATGCGAGATCAGCATTTTAGGGGTTTAGCATTGATTTTGAGCTTTTCGACTCGCAAAAGCTCGCTATTTAGCCAACTAGTTTCTCATTTCAATTGATCTTTTGATCTTTTAAACTAATTTCCATCAATTTCTAATCAATCCGATTTTCGATTCGTTAAAAAGCCCAAAAAAATTTTTTTTTCTGCAGTCGTTTACCCAAAAATAGTCCTAAACCAGTTTCCCAATTCGCTTTTATTTTTCTTTTCTCGTCAATTCGTTGAATGCCGAGATCACGCGAAAAATCCAAAGGTGGTAAAAAAAGAGAAATCGGCCTTGTTTTCGGGGAATTTTCCAAGAGAAAGGTTTGTTTCGAAATCGACCTGTTTACTCGGTAGAAATCTTAGAAAGATCGCGAAAAAATAGGCGCATTGTCGAAATTGGACATCACTTTGATGATCCAGTCGCGAGTTTTTGCAAAATGTCGATTTTCACGATTTTCCCCTACCCGAAAGAGGACGAGGAGAAGCTGACGAGGAAAGGTGAGTCGATTTTCGAAATCAAATAGCTGAATGGCCAATCTGGAACGCACTCTAGCATTTGGAACAAAAAAATTTGCAAATTTTCGTTTATGAGATTTTTTGAAAATCATTTTTACATGCAAATTTTTAAAATTTATTTTTAAATGCAAATTCTTAAAATTTAGTTTTAAATGCAAATTTTTAAATGCAAATTCTTAAAATTTAGTTTTAAATGCAAATTTTTAAAATTAAATCCAAATTTTTAAAATTTCTTTTTTAAATGCAAATTTTTAAAATTTATTTTTTAAATGCAAATTTTTTAGAATTTAGTTTTTAAATGCAAATTTTCAAAATTTATTTTTAAATGCAAATTTTTAGAATTTGTTTTTAAATTCAAATTTTTAAAATTTAGTTTTTACATGCAAATTTAAAAAATTTATTTTTATATTTTAAAATTTTTTTTTAAATTAAGATTATTAAAATTTATTTTTTAAATGCAAATTCTTAAAATTTAGTTTTTAAAATTTATTTTTAAATGCAAATTTCTAAAATTTAGTTTTTAAATGCAAATTTTTTAAATTTAGCTTTTTAAGTGCAAATTTTTAAATGCAAATTCTTAAAATTTAGTTTTTACATACAAATTTTTAAGATTTATTTTTCTGCAAATTTTCCCGAGTCTCATTCAGAATTGAAAACACGAATTATAGCGAATTTTAGCTGTTTAGAATCTTTAGAATGCCCACATTGCTTGAAAAAACTTGACGAGAAGCCGGTCGAGCGTGTGCCGGAGAACCCGACGTTAAACGAGCGAATATGGGGAAGGTGGAGGGTTGGTTTCGAGTTCGTCGCAAAATATCGAAAACTAGATTATTATTAAATAAAAAAATTTTGATTTTTGTCCGATCTGGACATCACAAAACGTAGTTAAAATGAAAAAAATTGAAAATCTCAACATTTGACCGAGTTGAGATTTCGAGTGAAAGAGTTTGAGGCGAAATTTTCGCCGTTTCTCAACTTTCGGCTATTTTAAAGTTTTAAATGCAAATGCTGGAGGTCATTTTAAAATTTAGTACAAAAAATTTGCATATTTGATAACTTTCAGCAAAGCGGACCCTACACGAGTCGTCAGATCACTTGTATGGGCGTTAGCATGGGAGTGGCCGCCGGGGGCTTCTGGATTTTCTACGGTTTCATCATTTTGGCGATTATTGCCCCACCTGGAGCCACAAGTTCGTCCGAGCATCCAGGTGAATCGAAATTCATGCAAATTTGAGAATTTTCCCACTACTTTCGTCGTTTGTCGATTACTTGACATCCAATTTGCGAAAAAGACTTAAACATTTGCCGTTTTCTAATTTAAAAGCAAGAGTGACTTCCAGGATTGACAATTAGATCGAAAAAATTGAAAGTTTATCTTTCTTGGTTCGCGATTTCGGTCCAGCACCGATCGTCAGAAAACCAACTTGCAAAGAATACTTAATCAAGCGCCTCTTCCCAATTCAAAAGCAAGAATGACTTCCAGGATTAACAATTAGCTCGAAAAAAACGAACGTTTATCTTTCTTGGTTCACGATTTCGGTTCAACACCGATCGTCAGAAAACCAACTTGCAAAGAATACTTAATCAAGCGCCTCTTCCCAATTCAAAAGCAAGAATGACTTCCAGGATTAACAATTAGCTCGAAAAAAACGAACGTTTATCTTTCTTGGTTCACGATTTTTGTTCCAACCCAATCGTCTGAAAACCAAGTTTCAAAAGCGACTTAATCAGCTGCTTCCCAACTCAAAAGCAAGAATGACTGCCAGAATTCACATTTCACTAAGCAGAATCCCAGGTTAATGCTCGAAATTCAATTTTCCATTTAGGATCTCTTCTCGAGCAAGCGAAAATCTTGAGAGCTGTGCCGGCGGTCCTCATTTCAGCCTTGATACCCTCGTTTCCGCTTATTTACGGTAGGTAGAGAGGTTTTAGAAATCGAGGCTTGCTTTCTAGCTGGCTTGGGTAGTCGTAGGCCAGGGCTGGTCAGCCAGGCCTGCTGTAGTCCAGAGTGTACTGTAGCTCAGTGCCAACTCGGCCGAATATCGAATTTCTTAAAGTCGATGCCTTCTGTGACATCCAGATCAAACAAATATCTATCTCTTACCAGCTCAAAGTCTATTGTAATTCGAGATTTTATCGAGAACTCGTTTCACTTCGAATTTCAGCCTCCCTTCTCTTGCCGTGCACGAGCCGAAAAACCGCGTTCGGTCTTTTCGTTTTCGCGCAATTCCTTGTGTTGATCATCGTTCCGATTTTGGTTGTTACCCAGCTGAAAAGCGAGCTGCCGCCCTACGAGAAGCAGTTTTGTGTGCAAACGGTGGGCACTCCAACTTTAAGCTCAAATATCTCGGCTTTGGACTGTCCAATCTCAATAGTTTTTATACCAATCGATAGAGAAAAACTTAGCGCATCTAATGAGACCAATCAGTCTTAAATTGGACAGTCCAAAGCCGAGATATTTAAGCTCAAAGTTTGCTAATCGAAAAAAGACGGGCAAAAGATAAAAGGCTTTCTGGCTCCGCCCCTTTTGCCAATCCAACCTTAAGCTCAAGTATTTCGGTGTTGAGCCATCCAATTTAAATCTTCTTAGTATCATTAGATGCGCCAAGTCTTGGGTTGGCAAAAGGGGCGGGGCTAGAAAGGCCCCGTCCCCTTTGTCAAACTTTGAGCTTAAATATCTCGGCTTTGGATCGTCCAATCTCAATAGTTTTTCTACCAATCGATAGAGAAAGACTTGGCGCATCTAATGATACTAAGAAGATTTGAATTGGACAGCCCAAAGCCGAGATACTTTAGCTCAAAGTCAAACTCAATGGCAAAAGGGGCGGGGCGTCCGATAACAAAAAAACGAGAGAGCAGGCGTGTCTGTTTAATTTAGATGGCTTTTGTACCAATCGATAGAGAAAGACTTGGCGCATCTAATGATATGGGGCACCTATAAAAGGTCTTTCTGGCTCCGCCCCTTTTGGCACCTTAACTTTGAGCTTGGGTATCTCGGGTTTGGGTGGTCCAAATTCAATAGTTTTTCTACCAATCGATAGAGGAAGACTTGGCGCATCTAATGACACTAAGAAGACTTGAATTGGACAGCCCAAAGCCGAGATACTTTAGTTCAAAGTCATATTGGCAAAAGAGGCGGGACCAGATAGGCCAGATTGTTAATGGGAAAAGGAGCGGGACAGTCAAATGTCCGATAGCAGCATAATCTGATAGAAGAATAATCCGATAGAAGGATAATCCGATAGCGGGATCGTCCGATAAGCATCTCAAATCGCCAATTCTAGGTAAATCACTTGTCCTCGGGCGCGTCGCGTGTGACGAATCACCTCTCGGCTCTCTTCGCGAATCATACAAACGCTCAGCCGATCCTTTCGCAGTGTGCTCAAAAAGCTTTCATCTCTCACACAAACGATTCCCTGATTTTCTCGACCTTTCACACAAAATGGAAACTCTATGAAATGTGCGATCGAGTGCTGAAATCAAAATTCGAAATTCTCACCGATTTGTGATCGAGTTTAAAGCTCGCTTTTCTTTCTATAACTTCTATAACTTCATTTTACAAATTTCAGTCATTTTTCGCTTATCTGGAGTGCATTTGAACCAGAAAGCTGTTTTGAAAAACTTTGCAACAACCGATCGTCGATCGTCGTCATTGCTCGTCCTTCTTATTGCCTCAATGCCTTCCAAAATCGCCATTTCCCTTCAATCTGGCACGCATTTAACCCCGGAAAATCGTTTTCAATCATTTCTTGAGCAATTCAGAGCAACTCTTGTACATTTTTGCCCCTCGATTTTTGCTCAACCCTTCCGCTCAACCTCAACTCAAAATTTCTCTCACTTTTTCCGAAAAATTCTACGTGTACAGTCTTTGCTGGATGTCATTGCATGCTTTGAACGAAAATAAAATTATAAAACCCATTTTGAACATTTTCGGGCGTCGTTCTTGTTCTGCTTCGTTTTTGTGCTTTAAATTAGACCAAACTTCTTTTTAATGCCATTTTTGGGCAATCTGGATGTCACTAAAGCTCCGCGAAGACACTTGGACTCGGGGTCGTTGGAGTGGAAACCGGCGATTGTGGGATCTGCGGGACTTGTGGGATTACCATCGAACGCGAGACTTTCCGCGTGATCGGACCACTGTACGGGCTGATCTGGAACGCACAGCGATGAATGGAAAGGGAAAATCTTGAAATCTTGAAAAGAAAAGTTTTCAAAATTCTACCTACAACGGCAACAGTTTTGGTCTGTACTCGAAATTTTCATCTTGTCCTAAAACGTAAAAAACGTAGACCAGTTACCGTAGTGCGTTCCAGGAGGCCCAAAAAAATCCTTTAAAATGACTTCTCTCTTATCTAATTTCCGTCAAAATACTCTGAACAGCTTTTGCTTACATGAAAATTCAAATTTTGAGTTAGAGCGTCTAAAAAGCAGGCCAACTACCGTAGTGCACTCCAGATTGCTTAAAAAACCAATCGAACATTTGTCCCGGTCTCAATTTTTGCCTCAAATTCTGGTCAACAACTTTTCTCAAATACTCTGAACAGCTTTTGCTAATTTTTCGAAAAATTCTACGTCTACAGTCATTGCTGGATGTCATCGCATGCTTTAAACAAAAAATAAAATTATAAAACCCATTTTGAACATTTTCGGGTGTCAACCCTGTACCCCAACACACAAAATTTCAAATTTCGAAATTTTCAACAAAATCGAAACTTTTACGTCTCATTGCTCCGATTGACAGCCAGCATTTTCGGATCTTCATTCGAATTCAAGTGTCCCTGCAATCGATGTGCCTCTTTTTAGCCAGTCCCGTTTCTCTCCCTCCCCTCTACCCTCCCCTCCACCCTCCCCTCCACCCCTTCACATCCATCCAATGAGCCCTTTCATCGGGTCTAATAGGCTGGCGATGGAGGCCCTTTAGCAAAAAGAAGATCGAGAAAGGAAGACGGAAAGGAAGACCGGAAAAGAGAAGCGATTTTTAATTAATCTCGTCTCGATGCTGGGGTCGAGGCTGAGGTGCTGACTAATTGAGAGATCTCAAATTTGGCACACAGCCAAAACTGAGAGTGTTAATAGACGCGATGCCATCCAGCTTGCCGAGAAAGTGCCGGGAAATTGGGAAATGAGGCTTTGGAGGCGCTGTGAAGGGATGAAGAGAGATGGGGTAGTAGGCTTGGAGTAAAAGTTGTAGAAAGGGGGAAAACAACGTTGTGGAGAGGTGCGGTGAGCTCCAGGATGGCTGAAAATGAAAAGATTGGGAGCTGGAGAGAGAAAAGAAAGAAGGAAATTGGACAGACTGGATAGGAAGGAGGAGGGAAACTCAAAAGACAGAGATGCCCGAGAAAAGCGATGGATTCTCGTGCCGTGCGTGCCAGATCTCACGAAAAGCGAGAGAAGTTGGGAATCGAGTGGAAGAGGCAGCCGGAAAGGGGCCAGTCCCGGAAAGGGGCCCAGGCGGGCACCCCGTCATCGACTATGCGGCCGCGCGGGCACCCGGGCAACGCTCCGTGCGCTCCAGGATGGCGTCTTTCGTTGTCTGGTGGCTCTTCAGTGGCCTCAATCTCTTCGCAAGGCCCTCGGTCTAGACCCGAGGCCACACCTCTCCATTCCATTCCCTTCAAACAACGGAGATTCGATCGGCTACCCCAAGCGTGCCTCCCATTTTGCTAATTGAGCTTAAATCGGCGTCGATTTTCGATATTCTATTCCGAATTTCAGCTCTGGAAAGACTCTGTAGCTATAAAGATGGGTAAATCGATTTTGTTTGAATTTCAAAGCAAAATTTGGTGATCCTGGAAGTCATGCTATTGTTTTAATGTTGTGGTTTTATGATTTTTTCGATTTCGACGATTTTTTTATTTCATTCGTGGAAAGTTCGGTTCTCGGCTGCTTTCAACCATTTAAAAAAAAAGGGATTTAAGGCACGCTAACCGATCTCTCCAAAAATGCATTCAAGACATTTGATAGTCGTTTTGTGGTCGTTTCGTGGTCGTACTTTGTACAGAAGTGTAGTTGAAAGGGTTATTTTGGTGCAAAAAAAAACGTGATTTTAAAATGAACATTTTCGAGTTTCTAATGACGTCATTGGCTTTCGTGACTTCCAGATAGAAAGTTGAGCTTTTAATGGAGAGCTTGAAAGCCATCTGTGCGCCAGAAAGCCTGCGTTTCTGAACCATCAGCACCACTTGGAATAAAACATGAAATTTTGGGGTTTTTTTTAAAAAATGGCTATTGTGCGTTCCAGATAAGGGAAAAATTTGGAAAAGAATGGAATTTAGTGTGTCAGAGGGGAGATAGGAGGGGGGTCAGCCTGCTATCTAGTGAGTGACGTCACTCTGGATAGACGGATTTTGTGAATTTGCCCAATTCCAATAAAAGAGACTTTCTTTGTGACTTCCAGCTTAGATGAAAATTTATTTAAAAGCTTAGAGAAATTGTTGTGGATTGCGGAATTCGGTCAGCTATGTTCTGTGCCTGGAGAGCTGTTGGAGCGTTGAGTGAAGAAAGGCAATTTGAAGAGATTCTGAAAAACCAATAAATGCAAATTAAATGCCTTCCAGATTAGAGAAATCAGAAAATGTTTCTTTTTAAAGACGATAAAATTTATGCAAATTTTAAAGGGTATGCAAATTTTAAAAATTTGCATTTTTGCAAAATTACAAATTTGCATTTTAAATTGTATTCAAATTGTCTACAAATTTTAAATAGTACAAATAGTCGTTTATAATGACGTCATTGGCTTTCCTGACTTCCAGATAGAA